ATATTCCATTACAATTAACAATCATGTTAAGACTGTCTATTGATTCGTTCATTTTGAACATCCGCTCATACACTTGTGTTCACACACTTGTTTGGACATTGATACTTTCTCACTCACACTCTTGTGTGACATTGATTTTTCCTTGTGTTTGAAAATACAAGTATCATCGTGAACCTGGTGGTTTTCTGATTTCCGCCTTCTTGCGTCAGGACTACTAGTTACTCGACCAGTACACAACAATAATTTGGCGACGGGTAAAACTCTAATAACTCACTCAACAGCAGTACATAACATAATTTGGCGAATGGGAAAATTATGGATTCTTCTAAATTGGAATTACTGCTTGTATGAAAAAGAGAAGACGTTCAGCGAAGAGACACTTTTCGGCGAATTCATTCACATAGCTGTACAATCGCATTTATATATAATTATTTGTGTGTGTGTGTGTACATGAGGTTTGTCAAAATTAGATAATTGAACAGGTAATACAAGAATGATCTAATATAGAAACAAGGTTAATTAGACAGCAACTAAAGTAAGATTGAGTTAGTAAGTTAGATGACGTAATACAATAGACTAAAATGTTTTAACTTAGGTCAGGGTAGCAACAGAGGTAATTACAGGTAGAGACTAAGTAGAAGTTGGGTAGATAATAATGCCATTTAAATTAGAAATGAAATTGAGCAATTACCTCTGTTGCTACCCTGACCTAAGTTAAAACATTTTAGTCTATTGTATTACGTCATCTAACTTACTAACTCAATCTTACTTTAGTTGCTGTCCAATTAACCTTGTTTCTATATTAGATCATTCTTTTATTATCTGACCAATTATCTAAACTTGACAAACCTCATGTATACACACACACACACAAATAATTATATATAAATGCGATTGTACAGCTATGTGAATGAATTCGCCGAAAAGTGTCTCTTCGCTGAACGTCTTCTCTTTTTCATATGACTAAATGGGGACTTTCAAGATAATTACTGCTTGAGCAACAAAGGAAATTGATGGAAATGCTCATCAACCAACAAACTGGTTCAGTTTCACCTTCAAGCAATCCGAATCATACCATGCTACCATCTGTCGATGGAATTGTAAATAGTATTACACAATTCAATTATGATCCAGATGCTAATGTTACTTTTGAGACATGGTATCAACGATATGAGGATTTATTCACAGTTGATCTCGCCTCTGAAGTCGATGCTTGCAAGGTGCTTTAGAGTTGACGGAATTATCTTACACAGCCTCTAAATTATTCTCGCGTACCGAAAACAAAGCAAAAGCCAATAATTGATCGTCCAGACTTCGTGATATATTTCGGGACCAAAACAAGCCTTCAGACGAACGCTTAGCTAGCTAGTGATCGTGTACGTGACACGACGGGGTACCAAATGGCGGGGATGCTTGACAGGAAGCCTTCAGCTAAACAAGTCGACTTAAACAGTGGTGGTCAGCATCCAATGAGTGATTGCTGTGGTCAATAATTTTGGGGAATTATTTACCGCTACAGTGCGATTGTTATTACGTAAATTGGGTCCCGCAGAATATGAAAGGTACTGCAACCTAATTTTACCCCAAAAACCACGTGACAAGTGTTTCGATGATACAATAAATCTGCTGCGTGAACATTTTGGAGACCACTCCTCATTATTCGACATACGATATCGTTGCCTCAAGCTGACAATGAATGAAAATGATGATTTTCTTACTCATGTTGGCACAGTCAACCGAGAATGTGAGAGATTTCGACTCAGGTCCTTAACAGATGATCAATTCAAAGCCATGATTCTCATATGCAGTCTTCAATCTCCTCGTTTCACAGATATCCGAACTCGACTGCTCAATCAGCTAGAAGAAAATCCTAAGTTAACATTACATGACATAGCTGATGAATATCAACGGCTGATTAATTTGCAGAAAGACACACACCTGGTCGAATCAACAACTTCGAGAAGCTCTGATATTCATGCATTACGAAAGAGCAAAAATCTCTCATCATCCACTCCTGACCCACCTTCTTCTAATGTTCCACGTAAATCTACACATACTCGTCCAACTTCTCAAATTACTGCAAAGAATACCCCAACATCACCATGCTGGCATTGTGGCACTTTGTAAAGTCCTGTCCATACAAAAATCATCGTTGCAGCAAGTGCAAAATCATCGGTCATAAAAATGGTTTTTGTCAGCCACACAAACACAGATATCATAATCCAGCGAAAGCTCAACAAACTGTTGGTCCTAATTCCCCAAAAAGGTCAATGAGTCTACTCGCAACCTGTCAAGTCACAACACCAGGTATGCGGAAATATCTTGATCTTCAGATGAATGGTCATGATACACGTCTGCAGCTAGATACCGCCTCTGATATTACTGTTATATCAGAGAAACTTTGGAATGGTATTGGCAGACCACCTATCACAAATACTTCCCAGACTCTTCTCAGCGCCTGTGGTGGGCGGCTCAAACTAACTGGTGAACTCAAATGTTCTGTTTCATTCTGTAACATTAAATTCACAGGAATTTGTCACCAAGAGTGATTTAAATCTTTTGGGACTTGATTGGTTTGATCGTTTGCACCTGGCTGATGTCCCACTAAATTCTCTATGCAATGCAGCCAAGAAACATAAAATGTCAGACAATTCCGGACGAAGCCGAAGCCGCAAACCCAACAGGCAGACGAAGCGACAGACGTCAACAACAAGCTCAACGGTTCCAGATAACCCCCAAGAAAACACCCTACTAATCGTCAATCTTCTCAAAAGGGGAGGTGATATATATCCACACAATATGTGTGTTTGTTTGACAGTCTGTTATATTTTGCTATGTATATACGGATCGATATTCCATTACAATTAACAATCATGTTAAGACTGTCTATTGATTCGTTCATTTTGAACATTCGCTCATACACTTGTGTTCACACACTTGTTTGGACATTGATACTTTCTCACTCACACTCTTGTGTGACATTGATTTTTCCTTGTGTTTGAAAATACAAGTATCATCGTGAACCTGGTGGTTTTCTGATTTCCGCCTTCTTGCGTCAGGACTACTAGTTACTCGACCAGTACACAACAATAATTTGGCGACGGGTAAAACTCTAATAACTCACTCAACAGCAGTACATAACAGTTGAGTACAAAAGATACGCCGAGGAATTTGCGTCCACGTGATATTCCTTTATCCTTAAGGGGACGTGTGTACTAGGCAGCAGTTCACCCCATACTTCTTTCTGGCTGTGAGTCTTTGGCTGTTGAAGTTGGAAGATATGAAGAGCCTAACCATCCATCTTTGATCCTAAGGTTTTGTAGTCTGTCTCTCTCCTGTTAAGTGGCGTGATATGGTAAGAAACAATGAGGTTTTGTGTGTAGGGTATTGAATAAATAGAGAAAGTCAACTCATAAAGTTGTCAATATGAATCGACTGAGATAGCTAGGGAATCTATTATTCATAACAAATGGCCGCTCCCATCGACGAGCAATGTTAGCTGAGAAGTCTGACAAGTCCGGAAAAGAGGTTTCTAGTTGTCGAAGCAAAACATTACACCAAGTGTTTGACTGTTGTTAGTTTGAGCCACTTACAGAAGTATAGATTGTCTGATAACCGGGGCCCCGCTGATATTCGATGACTGCAAACTATTGGTGACATGGATCAAAATAGATCCCAGTGGCTCAGAGTCCACAGAATTTGCACTCCTGACACCATAGAAGATGAACTGGACAATATCAAGAGAATCCTCGTCGAGAATTTTTATCCAGAACGATTTATTGCAAAATCTATGTATCCCAGACCACAAAAGCCGCACATGCTTAGCATCTCGAAAAAACTACTCTACATGAACCTTCAATTCAATGGAGATATATCTGCGGAAACACTAAGAAATCGACTGTCGCGTTCAGACCTTCTTCGCAGATGAACTACGACTAACTTTCTCCACAAAACTTATGATTCACGTGAACGTGAATCATCATCGACGTGTATCTATCAATTCACCTGCTCGTGTGGACCCAGGTGTATCGGCCGTACCCAGTGTTCGATTTCCAAACGTGTCACCAAACACTTACCAACATGGTCTTACATAGGAGAAAAACGATGGCCCCAAAGCTCCATCTTAGAACATCTGATAGATTCCGGACACCAAGCTACACTCCAAACAAACTTCAAAGTTGTCTACAGAATACCAAGTAGTCTTTCTAAAAATGTAAGAATCAGACTTCGTCATACTGCAGAAGCAATGGTGATTCGCTTGCTAAGTCCTGAACTCTGCATACACAGGAAGTTCGTTCAATCACTACACTTGCAATGGACGTAATCTATCTTATTACCCGACAAATAAATTCTACCTAATACTTTTCTCTTGTCTCTTCATTAGTATCATTTTGTCTTTTCAGTTGTAATATTTTACATTTTCAACCTTCTTGTTCTCTACCCCTACCCGATTTAATTTCTACACCTCATTACTACTGTTGCTGACTTGACCAACGCTCAATTTCTAGTCATTTATGTTACGTCATCCAACTTATTTGCTCCATTTCAGTTCTAATCTATATGGCATTATTTTCTACCCTACTTCTACTTGGTCTCTACTTGTAATTACCTTTGTTTCTACCCTGACCTAAGTTGAAACATTTTAGTCAATTACATATTACGTAATCTAACTTACTAACTAACTCAATCTCACTTTAGTTGTTGTCTAGTTAGCCTTGTTTCTGTATTAGATCTCCTTCTTATATTACCCGATTAATTATCTAAACTTGACAAACGTCACACACAAATAGTTATATATATGTACATATAAATGCGATTGTACAGCTAGCTATGTGAATGAATTCGCCGGCGAAAAGAGTCTCTTCGCTGAACATATTCTCTTTTTCAGATAAATTTACTCGTTTCGGTCACATTAGGAGTGCAGGCATACTTGACTTCTACAGTATATTTAGGTTTCAAATGAAAGTGAACGAACAAAGTAAGGGAGTGGCCATGAGGTTATCGACCTATGAATATAAACCCAGTTGTCTCATGAATCATGAAGGAAGATGACATAACATAACAATTTCGCTTTATTCCAGAAACAGTACTTGTGGTACAGTGTGGAATTTTCAGCACATATCTACAATATTGCATCTAATTTCATCGTACATTTAAAAGGAGTATTATAAAAAAAAATAAAATATAATAAAAACCAAAAAAAAGAAACAGAAATAACCAAAAAAAATGCAAATAAAAATACTGAGTAAAAAAGAAGACGAACACAAATAATGAAAAAAAATATTTCAGTATTAGTTAGTGGAAGCTATGATATGTGTATGCGTGGTGAACAGTAACAGCTATAATCATACGGGAAATTATGAAATGTTCTTAAAAAAATGTTTATAGCCAAGATGATCAGTTAATTTGATTGAACAACACTAAGCAATCATAAGATAAACATTTCAGGTTTTTTTTTGTCAGTACTAATGCGGTTGTTTGTAGTGGCAGTGTGAGGAATCATGCATAATACAAAATTTTTAAGATGGTGATAGTGGCAATAACAAACAAGATTGTCAGTTAAATAGTGCCGAACAAAGAACAACCACAAAACTAATGTTACATGATGGTTAATGACGGAACAATTTTTAATAATCATAGTGATAATATAGTCGGACCCAGTAGATGTACAAAGAAGGAGTAGAATAAAGAATAAAAATGTAAGCCAATGATAATAATTTTAAGCAGCTAAGTATGTTTAAGAAGGTTGTTCACTATAGAGTACAAATAAGAGAGTGTAAGGGGGAAAAAAACAAGGGCCAAAATTCTGTTATTAACAACAAAGCAAGTCATAGGTTTCACGCCTAACATTGTCTCTGTCACTTAGAACACGGGCCAAATATGGTATCGTTGAGTTCCTATACTTGGTTGTGCGAGCATATATTATTTTATACTGATTTCTGGTTCTACTTGATGAGATGCAGGGAGAGAGTTGGGAATAGAGGGGGTGTTGGGGGTCAGAGAGTATGGTTTTAGACCATTTCTCACATGTATTCAGATGCTTATCCACTAATGTTGTGACGAGCTGACTGAGTTTTACACCGCTAGTCCTGCTAACTACCTTCAACATCCTTCTCAGGATGGTATAATCCTTTTTCAGTAACCCAGGAAAGACTAACGGGGAACAGTAAAGTAGAATAGGTAGGATACGAGAGTTGACAAATTGTGTAAGCAGAGGTTGAGGGACTCCAGTTAGTCTGAGTTTCTTAATGTAGTAGGTTAGACGAAACACTTTCTTGGAAATCATTTGGATATGAGATGACCAAGTAAGGTCGGAAGATATAACTAATCCGAGGTATTTTGCATTAGACTTTGTTTCAATTATAGTCCCCTCGATTCTACAGACATCATGAGTGCTTACTAGTGTTTGTAGATCTCGTTTATGCCTAAAGGAGAAGTCGACAGTCTGGCATTTTGAGGGATTCAGCGTTAGGCCATTTATTTTAGACCACTGACTGATGTCCGACAGGAAGCTATTTAATTTGAAGCAGTCTGACTGAGACTTAACGGGAAGCGAAACAGTCAGGTCATCTGCATATTTGACGAAGTTGATTTCGTCTGAGAGAGGTAAGTCATGTAAGAAGAAGGAAAAGAGAAACGGCGAGAGAACAGCACCCTGAGGAACACCAGCTTCAGTAAGCAAAGGAGAGGAAGCTACACCATTATATATCGTGTACTGCATCCTATTGGAGAAGTAAGAGTGCAGCCAGTTGATAGCCCAGGACTCAGTTTGTGTAAGGCTAAGCTTGTTTAACAAAAGGCCTCTAGGTACAGAGTCAAAAGCAGATGTGTAATCAAGGAAAGTACAACGGACATACTTGGCCCCTTTGTCTAAGGAGGATACAATGTTGTGATGAAACACTGCAGCAGCATCCAAAGTACTTCTACCCTGTTTGTAAGCAAACTGCTTTGGATCATTTGAGAAGCTTAGGGAGGGAATGAGTTTTTGTAAGAGTAATTTCTCCATCAGTTTCAAGAAAGGAGAGGTAATGGCAATTGGTCTAAACTTAACATTATCTCCAGAACCAGACTTGGGTACAGGGATGATTTTAATATCTTTCCACAGAGAAGGTACATTATTATGAGAAAAAGAAGTATTGAAAATGCTTGTAAGTGGGTTACTTAAAATATCAGCACATTTCTTTAAGACAATGGCAGGTATACCATCAGGGCCTAGACTCTGGGAAGGTTTAAGAGATTTCAAACATTTAAGAACATCAGATGTATTGAAACGATGAAAGTCACTGGTCGTGTTATTAGTTAAATTGAAGGCAGAAATGACATTTGGAGGGCGGACAAAAGATCGATTGAGAGTATTTACATCAATAGAAGAGGCAAAATTATTATGCTTACCACAACCAGTAATTTCTCTAAAAAGCTTCCATATGTTTTCTGATGTTTTACAAGATAGTATTGTTTGATTATAAATGTTGTTTAGTCTCTTGATTTCAGATTTAATTTGGGTGTTTATCTTCTTAAGACCAGATTTATTCTTTGTCTTGTACAGCTTCTCTTTTTCTCTACGAAGTTTTTTGAGATGAGGGGAAGAAAAACGATCCATTCTTTTGAAAATTATCTGTTTTGGACAGCATATATCAAGACAGAATTTAAGATAGTCAGTCAAATTGGAAATAGTATCATCCAGACGAAAGCCAATCGTCAGATCATACACTTACGAAGACCACCATCCCGTTACAAGGTCTCATCACGGATTTCCTAAACACAGTTCTTGTGTACCTTGTCACTTTGACTTTTGCCACAGGGTGTGGGGAGGGAGCGCTTGATAACGGAAGCTTTGATTATCGAACCAACTGCAAATACGTGTTATTGGGAATGATTCAACACCTGTCCACCCAGATATCTGGAAAATTCTACTACCCCAACGACGACAAATAGGAGAGGACAAAGAAAACTATAAAACTCAAGTTTCGAAGTCGTGTGATTATAATTGATGATATGATTATGAACAATAAGTGAATTGTGTTCAAAACTTTGTCATCCAGTAAATACTAATACTGTTTCTGTGACCGTGTGATACATCTAATAAACGGACTAAGATGGAATTATATTATACATTATATTTCAGAGAATACGTATCAATTCTTTTCTTAAAACGGTGACAGTTAGTTATATGCGCATTTAACACATTGCTCTTCGTTGGTATTCTGCTGTCGCCACACTGTAATCCTCGATTCGGAAGTAACGGGTTTCATTTTGTTTCAGAAACCTGAAAACCAGGAAAACAGAGAGAAGCCGACTAATAAACCTTCATTTATATACATAAACCAGTGAAATAATTAGAAGCGAATCCTTCTATACAGTAATTTCAATAAACAAATACTCAACATTGGGTTCTTTTTGGTTGTGGATCGCATTAGAATCCGAGAAATTACTTTCTCTCCCGTATTCAGTCTGTCAACTAGAATATACTTCTTTACCAGTAAATTCTACGGTATCAAATGACAGAAATATATATATTAAATATTCCCATAGGAAAATTTAGATCAACACATTTAAGCGAACAATATTGTTGTTTCCAATTAGATTTCATCAGGCTTAACTCTAATATACACACATAACTTTACAAATAAGAATTCAAATATAAACCAATCATGGTGTTTTTCTGTAGGATAATAAGATGGTGATTATAAATTGTGCAATTTGTCATAATAATAATAGTTTTATCAATCAAAGAAAGAAGGAAATCGCAACACATTCGCCACTGATTACGATTCTTGGCCATATCCGATAACGTTTCGAGCCATCGATTTGAGCTATCTCTCGAACCCCAACCAGGGAGTCGTGACACACCAACCGATGCTAATCTAGCACAAAAATCCTTCATCCCACGACGCCACGTCATGGACTGACCACCTCTCCGCCTTTTCCATCCCGTCCCAGGGCTGGCCAGCGAACAGAGACCTGTACGGAAGCCTCTGGGGTGACATTCGGAGCACATGTCCAAGCCACCGGAGCCGGTGTTTCTAGATGACGACATTCAATGAATGGTGATCTCCACTTTGTTCAAACACACGCCGCCGAACCTCAGAATTACTCACGCGATGATGCCATCGAACGCAAGCAATCCTGCGGAGACAGCGGCGATCGAACACGCAGAGTCGCCGCACATCCTCAGCCTACTCGGAGAGGCCAGGTTTCACAGGCGTAGAGCAGCGCAGCCCGCACCGAAGCATTGTATACCCGACCTTTGACAACCAGGCTAACGTCGCGACGGCGCCATAGGTGGCTCAACTTGATGTATGCCACCCTAGCCTTCATTATACGGTTGGAAATCTCATCCGTCACCCCTCTCTCCGCCAGCACTCACACAACTACCCAGGTACACAAACTTATCAACAACTTCAAGCGGTTCACCCGCAAGAGTGAGTGCAGGTACAGGCTCCTGCCAATCTTGTAACAGTACTTTGCACTTAGACGGCGCAAAGCACATACCATACTTACAGACACTGAGAAGTCATCAGTTGGTTATGTCTTAATAGGCCAACAAGAGAGAGTTAATGGCTGTACCAACTTCTTTTGAATGCATAGTTTAGGTTTAATATTTCGAATACCTATCGCCTCAGCTATGCGCAGTAGACAAATACGAAGTCTATTGGAAAGATTCGGTGGGATACGATGGGTTACTTTGAAAGCTCTCGTTTTCTCCACTACATGACCACTATCAATTAAATGTGATAAAATTGAGCTACGGATTGTATTTGTCTGTCCTTTGCCAAACCACGATGTTGGGAGATGTTCACTAACACGTTGGCTAAGCTGTCTAGTAGCACGCTCAACATAACTGTCACCGCAGGTGCGGCTGAATTGATAAATGCACATAGATGTGGCAAAACTATCTAGCTATCTATCCTTCGTTTGCGTCCCAATCATCCGTCTGCTGGAGAATGACAAACACAGGTATGCTGCGTAAAACCTTCTCCGTATACTCCTGGAAAATCTCTGGAACAAAACCTCACTTGACAAGTCACCACTAAATCGTAACTTAATAAATAGAGGCTTTTTACGTGCAGTTAGAGTCTCAGGTTTTCTCTCTGATGTTCTCATATATATACATATATGATAGGTTAGAAGTAAGTAAGCTAACGTTGCAAAATTATTCATTGGTAACAGAATGGTTAAGATATATATTGAAAAGTGGTGAAAAACAAAACTTTTATCCCACTGAGGCCTATAGAAGACAAATCAAAAAGTAAACAATCACCTATTTATCTGTTTTTGAAAAAAATGTTCACTAGTGAGTCATAGTTAATGGAATACTGTGGTGAGGACTGTCTGCTAGCCAAAATCGGTAGAGAGTCATTTACGCCAACGTGTACGTCCCCAACATTGGTCATGAGAAAAGAACAAGAACAAAGACTGACTCAACAACCACAGAAGAATTTGCGTAGGCGGATACAATTTGCAGATAGCTGATGATCTGAACTTCAAGAAACGGCCACAAACAGATGAAAGATTAACGTTCAGCGAGAAACAACCACCAATCAGAAGCCTGTGTTTGTCTGTTAACAATAATCTATAATAATCTACATGAAAATCGAAAGGTATATCTGTTGATTTACCAAATAAACGATCTTTTGCCTGGTCCTTGTCTTCTGTCGTTACAATACTACCTTAGAACTTTGAGGTGGAGAAAAGACTGCACTGTTAGTACTACAATGAATATTTACTTACTAACGTGAAATATATTCGATTCTAAGATTAACAATCTAAAACCAAGCATCTTGGTCGGCACACAAAAGTAGCGATTGTTGATAGTCCATACAATTAATGCTATTAGATTGTTGGAGGCAATCGGCCAGAGGAAGCCTTTCCCGGACCTAGGTTTCGTGCTATTCGGCACTCATCAGTCAGCAACACGTATCTGCAACCATGTTGAAGGAACTCATATCCCACCCATCTGAGATTTGAACCCGCGTCACCCAGTGCTGCAGCTATTCGGGCTGGCGATTGACCTCCTGTATGACTGTAGTGGCTATTTTGATTTGACACTAGTAACTAGCTCAATGCAGTACTCACTGGGTGACACGGGTTCCAATCTCCTCAAAAGGGACATGAGTTCCTTCAATGTGGTTGCAGATACGACTTGCTGACTGGCGAGTCCCAACTAGCACGAAACCTAGGTCCAGGGAAGGCTTCCTCTGGCCGACTGCCTCCAACTATCTAATATCATCAAATCAATGTGTACACCGTGATGGTGAGCTACTTAGTGGAATGGTGGCCACACTGGAAACCTGACTGACTGATAGAATCCAGTCCGCACCAAAGAAACGACTAGACACGTCGTCACACTAGTTACTAGTGTCAAATCAAAATATACAATTAATGCATTGTGCAAAATCATGAGTGTGTAATGTGAGAAAATTATATGCATCTAACTCTCCGTTAATTTACAGTGCAATAAAAAATAATTTATAAAAACTCACTGCAAAAACTCAGCAACTAAAGCTTCTAGCATAGGCAAACTATCATCATCGACTCGGACGAATGAAACCATGTCTCGGAGTTTAACTATAAACAGAAAAAAGTTTCAAAAGACAGACATTTTTAGGTTCAATTCACATGAATTGTTGTATGTATGAGCTTGAAAACTATGTACGTATCTGTTATTTGCCGATTAGCGATCTACGAATGTTTCGCATGCGATTCGCTCCCGCCAAATGCAAGATGATGTTACAGAACTGACCGGACTACGCTGACTCCTAGTTTAGAAATAGGAAGTGAAGTGGTAGAGCACGTTGACCACTTCACTTATTTGGGAAGTACCACCAGCCAACGCCAACGGGTTGATCTCTGACGAGATCTCATCACGGATACAGAGAGTTAGTTTCTCATATCCCAGTTTACCCCATCTCTGGCGTAGACGTGATATCCGCCTACCTGTCGACCAAAGGGTGGGTGTACTGCTCATCAGTCCGCTCCGTCCTCCCTTTATGGCTGGCTGTGAGACCTGGCCATTGAGAGTGGAAGACATGAAAAGCCTAGCTAGCTGTCTTCGATCATAGGTGCCTGCGCTCTATCTCCCGTGTGAAGTGGTATAATAAGGTGAGCAATATTGAGGTTAGGCGTCGGTCGAGTGTTAGGTAAGGTGGGAGGGGGAAATCAGTCGACGAGGCTGTGAAGCTACATCGACTGAGATGGTTAGGAAATGTGTTACGCATGCATGCGTAGTCATCCATTGCCTTCCTCGACTACGGGGTAATGTTAGCTGACATAGGGTCAGGCTGGAAAAGAGCTAGCGGCCGTCAAACCAAAACATGGCCCCAGTCAATGAAATCCACAACAATTAGCTTAAGCCAGCCACGTAGGAAGGTGTAGACTGCTGTCTGGTTGGGGTCCTCGGGACGGTATAAACCAATGAAGGCTGGAGACAATTGATGATATGGCTCAAAATCAATGCTTTAAAATGCTTTTTGCAATACTTGCAACAGTCACACCATACTTAGCCATTGTAATAATAACAATTCTATCAACAAACCGTCTAGAAACAGTTAGAATGTATTTTACTTTTAACTTATACCTTTGATAAAGAGAAAATGTTCAGCGGAGAGACTCTTTTCGCCGGCGAATTCATTCACATAGCTAGCTGTAAAATCATATATATATATATATATATATTGTCGGTGTTGTCTTGCGCATATTTGACATGCATGTCGTCATTATCATTATTATTATTATTATCATCACTATCACTACTATCATTATTTATTTTATTTCTACATTTCCCTACATACTTTCTGACTAATATATCAGGGTAATTATTAAGTTTCAAGGCCTCTCTTATATGTCTCACTTCCTGTCATAGATTTTCCTTGGTACTACTTAGTTTTTGTGCTCTGTTGTCACTTAAACATTTCACCAATCCTATTTTTACTGACATAGGATGGAATGATCGGAAGTCCAAATATCTGTGGGTTTTCTGTAAACACACTAGCGTGTTTAACTTCCCATCTTCTTTTCTTTTTACACTATAATCTAATATTGGCAGTTCCCCTTACTGACTATGCAATTCATCATAAGTCAAATGAATTGCCTCCACCTTTGAGTTAATGTGTTCGAAAAATCTATCTATATCCTCTGTTCTTAGTACAGTGAATGTGTCATCTACATACCTCCACCATACTTTTGGTGTGGCAAATAAGTGTAATAGCAATGATTCAACACCTGTCCACCCAGATATCTGGAAAATTCTATTACCCCAATGACGACAAATAGGAGAGAAAAAAGAACACCATAAATCTCTAGTTTCAAAGTCGTGTGATTATAATTGATGATATGATTATGAACAATAAGTAAATTGTGTTCGAAACTTTGTCATCCAGCAGATACTAATACTGTTTCTGTGACTGTGTGACACATCTAATAAGCAAACTAATATGGAATTACTTACTACCACCACAATGCCCAAGTTTTACACATCATAAAGGAGGGAACATTAAGACTTACCAAACAACCTCAACAAGTGAATTGACCCATAAATGTCTGACATTCTCTTGCCTGTATGCTGTTTCAATAGCTTAGCGTATTGTAATCTCTCGAATTTGTATAAAAGATGAGAACCAATAGTATGATTGAAAAGATACTGAATTCCATAAACAAATTCACGCCGTACACCCGGGTCTATTGGTACGTTAGTGCTCAGTTGAGTGTTCTCAGATTCAGAAGAAGTATAGTTGTTTATTTCACGAGTTGATTCCGATTTAATCATTTCCGCCTCAGAACTTTCTAAGAAATCTGATAAAATATTACATATTGGCTGAGAAGCAGGCAGTTCATAAAGCTGTGAAAATTTAACCGAAGAATAAAAATTCAGGAAACAAAAAGAAAAATATGAAGTGAGATTTACTCTATAACAGTAGTAGTGACACTACAATTTATCACACAAAAAACAAAATTACGCTGAGAACAATAAATCTTAACTAGGGGTATCGAGTATTTAATTGGTGGATGGTGACTAGCAGGAGAATTGAGAACTCATTCCACTGACTCAGCACGAAACTCAATCATTTGTAAAAAAAAATTATATTTGTAAAATCTCAGCGAGATGGAAATCAGTAATTCCAACGTTTCCTGCCTTCGTCGAAATCTAGTCCGAACTTCTTCACGGAAATTAATCGAAATTAACATAACAGAGGTGATTTATATACATGAAAGGGGGACATCTGTTGTTTTCAAAAACTATTTCCAATCATATGAGTCATGAAACAGGTATCAACATGTATAATCAACAGAAAATTGAATGAGTTGTGATCAAAATTTCACCTTAGACCTCTTATAAATATTGGTCTACCTTTCTTAAACACTTTAAACAGAGTGTGTGTGTGTGTGTGTGGTAAATGGTTGTAAGACATTTCTTAACGGCTCCATAAGAAGATATAGACAATCGGGAATTTTGACCAAGTATTATTAATTAATTAGTGATACATATCCAATTTCTATTTATTTATTAATCAGGATTTCCTATGTATCATTAGCTAACACACATCACACCTTCATGTCTGTTCAAACTGTTAGTAGCTAGAATTTTATGATTAGATGTATTTTCAAAGTTATGGTGTTTAGGATTAGAGTTTAGTTGAAGCACCCTGTCGAACTTATTGCTTTGTCTTCTTTCTGAAAATTGAGCTGCTTTATTTGACCTACTGGAGTTGTCAGGTGACTCGACAGCAAGAGAAGAAAGTAGAAGAAATGCATAATAGAGACAGTAAACAGAGGTCTGAGACAAAGGAATAGTAATAACGAAGAACGATATAGTTTCATCATAAGTCAGAAGGAGTGGATGCATCTGCGCTAGCCATCACCGAGAACGATTTTGAGCCATATCATCAATTGTCTCCAGCCTTCATTGGTTTATACCGTCCCGAGGACCCCAACCAGACAGCAGTCTACACCTTCCTACGTGGCTGGCTTAAGCTAATTGTTGTGGATTTCATTGACTGGGGCCATGTTTTGGTTTGACGGCCGCTAGCTCTTTTCCAGCCTGACCCTATGTCAGCTAACATTACCCCGTAGTCGAGGAAGGCAATGGATGACTACGCATGCATGCGTAACACATTTCCTAACCATCTCAGTCGATGTAGCTTCACAGCCTCGTCGACTGATTTCCCCCTCCCACCTTACCTAACACTCGACCGACGCCTAACCTCAATATTGCTCACCTTATTATACCACTTCACACGGGAGATAGAGCGCAGGCACCTATGATCGAAGACAGCTAGCTAGGCTTTTCATGTCTTCCACTCTCAATGGCCAGGTCTCACAGCCAGCCATAAAGGGAGGACGGAGCGGACTGATGAGCAGTACACCCACCCTTTGGTCGACAGGTAGGCGGATATCACGTCTACGCCAGAGATGGGGTAAACTGGGATATGAGAAACTAACTCTCTGTATCCGTGATGAGATCTCGTCAGAGATCAACCCGTTGGCGTTGGCTGGTGGTACTTCCCAAATAAGTGAAGTGGTCAACGTGCTCTACCACTTCACTCCTATTTCTAAACTAGGAGTCAGCGTAGTCCGGTCAGTTCTGTAACATCATCTTGCATTTGGCGGGAGCGAATCGCATGCCAATCATTCAAAGACTGCAGCTCAAGGAGTTCAGAAGACTGCATTTTGTCAGCGTCCTCGCCTAGAAGGACTATATCGTCTGCATATTCTAAGTCAACGAGATTGTTCCCTGGTAGCGAGTCAATCCCTGAGTCTCTAAAGTGAGTTAGGTTTAAGTCAATTAGTACATCTATGATGAAATTGAATAAAAGTGGGGATAGTGGGCATCACTGATGGACACCACTAATCGTCACCACTTCAGGTGACAACTCATCGTAAGCCCTCACCTGGCTGACTGCATGAGTTCGAGTAGAGTGCCTTAATGAGTGCAATGTATTTTCTCGACATTCCCTTTACAGCAACGCAACGCTAAAGTACCTCTCATTCGACAGAATCGAATTCCGCCTTCAGGTCAAGAAATATAGCGATTGTTGGACGCCGCCGGTAAGAATGCCTATGTTCTAGAATCTGTGGGAGGGTGAAGATATGATCAATACACCCTCTCCCTGGTCTAAAGCCTGCCTGGCTCCCTCGTGTTTGTGCCTCCTGAGCACCACTTAGTCTACGCATGATTATTGAGCCTAGAACTTATATTAGGACTATATTAGTCAAGCTAATCCTTCTGCGATTATCACAGGAAGACTTGTTTCCCTTCTTGTATATGGGGATAATCAGTGACTTACACCAACCTGACGGGACTTTCTCTGATTCCCAGACGCTGCCTTAGTACCTCAGTTAATCCAGACAGTAAACTTTCTCCACCGTACTTAAATACCTCTGGAGTCATTCCATCAGGTCCTGCTGCTTTGCCTTGTTTCAGACTAGTGACAGCTTTAGTTACCTCAGTTAAGGACGGAGGGTCTGTGCCTATATCCCATTCAGGAAGGTGTTGGATAGTCGGCAGGTTGAGCGTGGCTGTAGCCCAATTAGACTGCTCCGCATAGTGTTCTTTCTAGCGTTCTAGTCGTCAATCAGATTGTTTCACTTATCATTTGCCTTTTACCACCTGTTTCCCTGATAAGCCTAAACAGTTGTCTGGTGTTACCGATTGCCGATACCTTTTCCATCTCTTTTGCTTTTGTCGCCCGCCACTGTTCACGGTCATTGCGAAGACTTCGTGTTAGTTTTTGTTTGAGTAGCTTTCGCTCCTCATCATAAACGGAGCTCGCCAGAATCAGTCTTCTTGCGTCAATCAGTTCGGATGAGGCAGTAGATATCCAATGGCTCTTACTAACTTTTGGTTTTAGCTTATTAACAGCTTTGACCGCTGTGTCTACAGCTAACCGTATGTTGTGCCAGGCCACATCAGGGGAAGTCCTGCTGTCGACCTCAGATACTCGTTTCGCTATTTATTCCTTAAATAGGGACTCAGTGTCTCGATCTAGTTGGGGACGTAACTGTTTCGCTGACGTCAATTTTTTATGTCCGTTTAGTCGTAAGCATAAACGTCCGCGAACCAGAGCGTGATCAGAGTCTACACACGTGTCCCAGAAGGAGTGGCAGTCTCCTACTGACCCTCGACAACGATACCTTATCACTATGTGGTCTATCTGATTCCAAAGTTGATTTGGTGATGGGGGTCGCCAGCTTACACAATGTCTCTCTTTGTGCCTAAAGTTTGTGCTGACTAGGAACAGATGATTATCTGAGAAAAACTGTAGAAGACGATCACTGTTGTCGGTCCGTCGGCAGGGAACTTCATACGTACCACCTACATACTTCTCAGTCTGGAACAACTTCCCTACTTCGGCACTTAAGTCGCCTGCTAAAACAACTATGTCTAAACGTTTTGCTTTTCGCAGGAAATTAGACAGTTTCAGGTAGAAATCATCCTTTAGTTTATCCGAACTGCAGTCTATCGGGGCGTAGGCGGAGACTACGAAAAGGCAACGACGGGTAGCACCGTCTTTCCCTCTTTTAACGGACCCATTCAGACGGATCGCACACATACGACTATCTACTGGGATCCAGTCAAGAAGTGATTTTTCCGCCCTAACACTCAGTGCTATCCTTAACCCCTGCGAGTTCTCGCGAGCTAGCTGAGGGGTAAGGACTAAAGGACAGAATATTGATCAACGGATTATATGTCACATTATGATGTTTATGTTAGCCGGAGATGAAATGTCCTTCTTAACGCGTTTATATTCATATTTTCTGACATCACTTTGCTTACATATATATATATGGACAACCAGAGAGAGCTTTTGAGTTATGCCACTTCAACATATCAATGAAATTTCTTGCATAACTTTGAAGTCTATGTGCAGGTTTTACACAAGTGTGTATTACTTGAAGAAAAACCCACAACACTGACCTGTTGTGTTGTTTGATAACAAAATAGATTCAGAAAATCGCTAATTCTTAGGCGATAACTGTGAACACTTAATGTGCATCTCACACTCTGTATTGTGTGAGGAAAATTGATAGACACCCCCACCCCCGCTCACCTTTGGTAATGAATGAGTTACTGAAGGTAGAGAATCTGTATATATCTTTGAATAAGTCACTTAGAAGACAAATTTCGCGAGATGATATCAGAAAAGACACCTTCTGTACCAAAGAAAGTTATCTTTATTAACCTAGCATTCAAGGGTGACCACATTATGCAGTTGTGTTACAGCTAGCTCAAAGACTTCGGTCAACCATCAAACGCACATTCTACGCCGAATCTCTTCTTCTCACATGCCGAACATTTTCGATCCCTTTACCTACGATTAAAGGATGAAATTCTGTGGACTCTACTTCAAACTGTATCTACAAGTTCACTTGCAGCTGCGGTGACACCTATATAGGTAAAACCAATAGAATGTGCCAATATCGTCGAAAAGAACGTGTTCCAAAATGGTTACTAAAACACATAGATAATCCCAATGCAATTAATCTAAGTAGAAGTCCAGCATCAACCATCGATTGCAAAACACTTATTAATGTCAGGTCACAAAATCAATCAATATTATTGACTGTTTCACAATTATTTCACCACAAAACTCTATTTCAAGGTTGGTTATTGAAGGTGATGGAAGCACCTTGGAGAATTAATCACATACAGCCTAAACTGTGTGTACAAAAAGCAATAGACTTCAATCTTCGCCTACCATGGACTGACTACTTGACCTATTAAAATATCATTGATCATTAGCATGGCATGTACTACTTTTGTTTTTTATATAACTGAGTAATTGTCATGATTTTTACGAGTTGATCACGGATTGATATCAGTTAGAGAAGCATTGAAAACCAGGGAGTACTGGACAGCGGCTGTTTCATCCTAGTTTGGGAATCATCGGCAGAACGCACCCCGGGTTCTGGGCTCGAATCCCACTGGGTGCGTACTGCCGATGATCCTCAAACTAGGATGAAACAGCAGCTGTCTAGTACTCCCTGGTTTACAGTGCTTCTCTAACTGATATCAATCCGTGATCAACTCGTAAAAATATGAACTTTATTTTATTTTAATGTTATTGTTAACCATGTTAGTTGTGTAAAGCGGTTGTA